TTCAGGATCTTCAGAAACAAAAACATCCAAATGGCCGACATGTGGGATTTTCAGTAACAAATTCATTTGATGAAATTATAATAGGGTGTTCGAAACACAGTGTCTATTAACTATGTATTATTTTCAAAATAAAGCTTTAAATCAATTCTTAGCTCACCTGGACCTGACATCCCACTGATGTAACTGGTTGTTGAAATATGATTATCGTCTAACAAGTTTTGTAGCTCACCTGACTGAAAGTCAAATGAGCTTATGTTATGGCCTGTTTGTCAGTCATCCATTGTGTGACATGTATTTGTGATATTTTAAGTTTTGACCTCAATTTCACCTTTGCACTTCAACCATACCAAAATCTAAAACCTCTTGGCCATAACTAAGCCATTTCTTTTCAAAATTTAGTATAAGCTTAGACATAGCAAGGCTCCACACGTTCTGATTTCTCTATGTTTTATAAACGATGACCTTTGTTCGTTAAAATCAGTTACTCAAGAAAATACGGTACTCTCACTGAAAACATCATCTCCCCTGGGACCGTTGGACCAATGAAGCTGAAGCTTCCCATGCTTGTTCCCACCAATGATAACACCTAAACTTGTTCAAGTGGTTCCGATCCAATTTTTCATATCGCCACACTGGTAGCCATAATGAAAAGGTTTTTAGGACCATTATGCAGTCATCTTTATTAAAGTGAAAGGACATTTGATGCGCCTGTAGTTAGTAGTGGGAGTCACCATATATGTAGTTCTTTTTGTCAGTTTTTAAAATTGAACTTGATTTGATGTTTGCACTTTGTCCATGTTGAGAAATAAAATTTGTATTGGCCATTACTCAGCCCTCTCTTTTCAAAATAATTTTATTCTTTAATTGACCTTTTGCTCATGACCATGCTCTTAAATTCTCTCCCATTTTCCTCTCACTGTATACATCATCTGTTAAGGAACCACTGGATCAATGAAGCTGAAACTTCACATGCTTGTTCCCATCAATGAGGACACTTGAATTCGTTGAAGAGGTTCGAATCCAATATTCAATATGGCCACCACTTGTGCCCCAGCCGTCTTAGGTGCTGCAATTTGCTATGCAGAGTTGCTTCCCTTTGTATGTTTGCAATACTGAAAGCTGAATATTCTTATGTACATTACTCAGCCAATTTGACTCAAAATGTAAGAAACTTTAGTAGTGGGGCTCAACTCATTTTGTCTACATGATACTTCCTTTTGACTTTTACTTAACCTTTCCACTTCAACTCTGCTACTAAAGTCTCTCAAAATGCTTTTCCTCACACTTTAAACATCATCTCCTCACAAACTGTTGAAACTTCACATGTAAGTTTCCACCAGTGATGACTATTGAATTTGTTTGATTCCAATTTCCAATGTAGCCACAAAAGCAGACATATTGTAAAATATATTTAAAGGCCATTAGTCTGACATTGTTGTTCAAAATTGAATTAAAATTGGTATTTGTTTAGTTAGTTGTGGGATTCCACATGTATGTTCCGTGTTTTTGCAAGACAAGCTTGTTTTGATGAAGCTCGTTCTTTCTCTCCAAAGGTATATTTGACATCTTCTCCCCTGAAATTCCCCCGACTGACAGAGCTGAACTTTGGCATATATGTTACTCCTTATGATGATGTCATAATTCTAGTTATATGTTTTGGTTTTTAGTCCTCAGTATTTGTGGAGAAAATATTTGAATATTTACTTTTGTCTGTCTCTTCATACATTTTATATTGTTGACCACATATCATGGTGAGCTACAGTGCCAAGGCACTATTTTATAAAATGAATTGTCAATCTTGTAAAATTGAGAGAGAAAAAATTAAAAAGTGTTTGTTTTCCTCTCATGGTATGACAAGTTATCTGGGTAATTCCATCTCATGAAAAGTTTTACTCCGATGAGTAGTAGTTAAAAGGGGGGCACAATGCCACAGAAATGTCAGGTCCTGGAACTGTTGCCATGTAGGCTATGTTTCTATCAATAATGTCATTAGACATAGAATTTTACATAGTTGTGTTGGGGTACGACCTCAAGTGACCTGGACTTGGCTCTAATCATGGAAATACTACTACCATGTAGGTCTTGTTTTTATCAATTATGCCATAACTAAAGAAAAAACAGGGTTTTTTTAACCTATGATTTTATAGGTCCTATTAAAAATGGATACAGGCCTAGGAACAGTCTCAGGTCCTGGAAATGCTACCTGTTGTTAAACAACTATGTATATAAATATAAGCTGGCCAGTCTTCAATATACACTGATATAAGTTTGGCATGTTTTGTTTCTGCCAGCAGTTTTAGAACTTCATTTCGTTTAGTCTTTGTTGGAATAATATCATTCTCAAGAAGGCATTCCTCAAAAGAATCACATTCGTTACAATGGAATGAGGCAGTCCAATGTGTCTGCTCCCAAAGAAAATTTTTCTGTATGCCAAACTGAGAATGCTAAGTAAGAAAGCATATCTTTCTTTTTTTTGTACTGCTGTTATCTATGATGATAAGGGTTGAATTACTTGTAGCCAGTCACATACATCCTCACCTGGATCCCAACAAAACACAATAAGATTTGTGTTCTGGCTGATTTCAAACTATAGTACTGTCAATTGGAGAATATTCTATATTTGCATCTTAAAAGATAGAGGGAAACCATTTATTAGTTAAGATTAATAAATTTTGTATTGCCAAACTTCTCAAGCTCTGGGGCTTTCGTACCAAGAAGTCTGGTATGAGAAATAAAACGAAGAAGGTAGGGGTCGTGTCAGTACAAACCCAGGACGCAAACAGATATTAGACAGCTTTCATACAGGGGTGATTAGGCATTTAGTGTGCAAGCTTATAAGCAAAAGGTACCCCCGACTTGTAGTAGAATTTGGGAAGGAATTAAGACACAATTAATGTTTCCTGGACAACATTAATTATTGCTCTTCACGAGATGGGATTTTGATACACAATGTGGTGATGACCTAGCAGTTTTCAGGTGAAAATATTCTATCCTGTCTATGAGGTTACATTATCTCCGCATCATACATCACAGTCAGTACTTCCAGATCATTGAATAAGACTCATTCTACTGAGTACACGTGTCTAATGTCAGATGGAAGAAAACACACCGATGGTACCATCAGGTAAAGGTAATCGTGCTATGGTTTTGTATGCCGGAGCCCATGATCTAGGGCTTATTGATGGATGTGAGCTAGTATTCTAGACGGAAAAGATCATAAAGAAATGATTGGTGAGGTGTTCATAGACTTGTTGTGACATCAGCTACTGCCCAATCTAATCAACCCTAGTGTTACTGTCATGGATAACGCCAGTTATCATAGTGTCCGGGAACCAGATAGTGTCACGCCAACCATCAGTAGTCTGAAAGCGACCATATCTGACATCTTGCATATCTATATCTATATCTGACATGTCGACATCGGACCATCTGAAATGAAAGAATGAAGAAAATTCGCCAGAATACGGAACCAGTAAAGTACAAGACATGTCCTGCGGCACAACACTGTCACATTGTCTTACGTACACCAGGCAGACATTGTCAACTCAAACCTATTTAGCTTATCGGGGCTTACTGTGAAGGGTTTGCGGCAAGACATAACAGAACATTCAAACTCAAACTAAAAAATGTCAAAGGATTATACCCAGCCATTTCTAGCATCCCACCAGATATATGGCAAAAGGCTGAAGATCACTTTCTTGAAATAGAATGTCAGTATCACCAATGTGATGGCATATATATCAGCCTTGTTATACCTTTGGGTGATAGTACAGATTCAGATATGTCATCAGCTGAGTCAGATGCTGGCTGAATCATTTGTAGAACAAACCCCCATCCTTCCAATACTCATCCTGGTTTATAGCTTTTAACTATTCCATAATATTTCCAAGCAAATATAATGCAGTTCATATCTTAATCGTTGCCCCCGTCAACACATATCTCAATAAAGTATTATGACGGCAATACTTTGAGACCACCCCCTACTCAGGTGACATTTGCACCTGTGAGAATCCACGGTGAGGTCATCACCTTGGGACAGGTGTTAGGTAATTACCTCAGGCTATAGGCCATTTCAATCATGCATGACAACACATGAATATTAATATGAAGTTTTTCATCATTTTACCTGTAAAAGTACCTCTTTAGCCAAATCATAGTGTCAGTTAGGATAGGCTAGATTAGGTAGATTTGCGTTATTTTGATATATGAATCCAGGTTAAATCCTGAAGCATATTTCATATCATATCTCAATAACAGTGTTTGATGGTAAGATAACTGAGGAAGAGTTTCGGCTGATCTTTTTGGGGCTTGAAAAAGTTCAATTAAATGAAAGAGGGGGTTAAAACAAAACAAAGCTCAAACAAAACAAGGAAGTTAACCCATGCTCTTCCCAACACACACACACACACACACACACACACACACACACAATATCTCTTTCTTGTTTGTCATATCAATTTTAGTCAGCGGGTGATGAATTTAGTCCCATTAGGGAGATTGGTTACAACCCAGGTTTATGCCGGACTAATCATTCTATGGATTGGCCTTATTCTTTTTGTTCCTTTTGTTGCACCCCTTCATGGTACTACTTAACCGGGGAAATACAATGTGGAGGTCCCAAGGTGATTCGAGCAGGAAATATAAGATGTGTATGAAGTGAATGTACAACCCAGGTTGTGACAGTGTAGTTATCCGTGTATTACTTGTTTTTTTATTACTTGTTTCATATTTGTTGACACTTCCGTTCTCCGTCAAAATGCTGAAAATATTTGAATAGCAATGATGAAAGCAACTTTTTTGAAGTTTTAGATGTCTGTCTCTGTTGACATTTTAAATTGTTGACCACTTATCCACCTGACCTGCAGTGCCGTAGAACTATGTTGTAATACAGACGTGATAAGCCTTTATAGACATTCAGTTGAATTATTTTAGGAGTTCATTACATTACTGTATTAATGTTTCAGTCCAAGTAATTATCAAACTTGTTTAATTATTTTCAGGATTTGTCCTCCCGAATTTCTGACATCATGGCGGACGAATTAGGAAAGATCGTTCGACCACAAAGTCCGACAAGGACATGCAGCATTAATCCGAGTGACAAGAGTCACATTGGACTCATTTTGAGCGAATCAAGAGTCACGGAAAAGTCATGTGAGAAACTCCTGAGTGTCAGAACAAATGAAATTGTGTGTGCACTGTCCTCCAAAACAATATACCTGTCGAACTCAGGACAGGTCATATCAAACATAGATCTGCCATACTACTGGTGTAACTTCTGTACCTTCAAGACAGAGGAAAAACACCAGCTGTTGACTCACCTGATGGATCATCGGTTCTCCTGCCAGTATTGTGTGTTTCAGACCTTCTCTCGTGTTGATGTTGTCCGACATACTGTGCAGGAGCACTCAGAGTTTGACGGCAGTGACCTCAAGGTCTGTGTTCTACTCCCCGATCTCTTGAAACATGGTCTCAACCAAAGCAATGACAACTCCAAAAAATCTCCTAAAGAAAAGTCAAAATTAAAGTCAGAATCTGAAGCTGAGGAAACTGAATCCCCAAATTCAAAAAGGAAGAGGACATTGTCTGTGAGTGAAGAAGACACCAAAGTGTATAAAGGTGAAGGTCAAGCAAAGAGAGGTCGCACTAAAAGTAAACGTGGGAGACCGCGTAAAGCTGTTTCTGCGCCAAAAAGTAAACTTGAATCTGAACGAACTGTTCGATCCAGCAGTGAAGATGAGAGCAAACCGACAGAGAGACTGACCAGGTCTTCACCAAAGTTGGTTAAAAAAGATCGAATGCCTGGTGTGTGTTTTGAATGTAGTGTTTGTAAATTTAGGACTTTTAAGAAGGCAATCTTAGGAAAACACACTGAACTTGACCATGATGCAGCACGACCAAAGTTTGCCTTAAAGATTGTTTCCCTGTCACAAGCTCAAGACATTGATGCAAGTGATGAGAAGAATAAATCTATTTTGAAGGACACAGTTCCTTCGTCCTCTAAAGAAAAAAAAAAAACTGAAAAGGAAAAGGAAAAAACTGCAAGTGTGCCAGACTCTGAACCTTGTAAAAAAGATACAGAGGATGAAGAAGAGGAAGTTAATGACGCTGTAGTTGAAATGGATTATGCTGAGGAAGATGATGAAGATGAGGATGAGGATGCTGGTGTAGATGAAGAAACAAATAAAGGCCTTGTGCCTGACATGAAGTCTACAATAGAAACAAAACATCCTGTGCTCGGTGATCATATAAAGCCTGCAGTGATCGTCAATCCAAGCATCTATACATGTTTGTTGTGCTCAACGATTCATGACTCTACCTTTTCAGTTGTAAAGAACCATTACTTTGATAGTCATCCTGGAGGAACATTGGTGATGGGTGAGTCAACGTCCGTCAATAGTGTCGTACAGTGGATCTATTTCTGTGTCACCACAGATTGTTTTTTTCACACCACTAATCCAACATCATGGTTGGAACATTGTCGGATATGCCAGAAAGAAGCTTATGAAAATCCAAATCTATGTAACAGTCTAGATGCAAGTATGAAAAACACAGTGAATGCTGTGAGGGAAAACATGCTGCTGATGAATCAAGCTCAGCCTGGTCCAGTGGATGCAGGGACATCTGTGAAAGGTTCTGCTCCTCTTGGTTATGTTCCTGCAGTGCATATTAAAACTGAACCACAGTTACCTCCTACTGTGTATGTTTACGAATCAGAGGCTCCAACCTGTGGTAAGCAGAATGAAATGCTTCAAGACCAACAGCCACCCTCACAAACCCTTGTTCAAGGATCCTTAATTTCAGATTCTGTGTCCTCCTCATCTTCATCATCGGCTCAAGCTGTGTCATCGTCTGAAAAGATTGTGCCAGTTGTTCCTCCACTAAATATTAGTCAGTCCAAAAATGCAATAGTCAATATGATGATGATCAGGAAGATGAACAGTCATCTGGCTTCGTCTGCAGTTAGTTCAACCAGCACAGCCAACAGCAACACCAGCACCTCAGCAACCACCACCACCACCACCACAACCCCTGCCACCAGCAGCACCTTGGCAACCAGAACTAGTACTACTTCAGCAAACAGAAATAGCAGCAACTCTGTGCCACACAACAACAGAAGTCCAGCAACAAGTAACACCCTTGCTGCATCTCTGAATAGATCTACACCACCAACTAATGCTGTGGCCACACCACCAACAACAAGGTCTCCCAATCCTTACAATCTTCCATCAGGCAAGACTTCATGGCCATCCTCCCCCCCAAATTCTCCAAATAAGTCTGTAGACTCTAATGTCCAGTTTGATGTTGAAAAGAAAGGAAATTACAAGTGTGCCCATTGTCGGTATCTGGCTGCAAAGGCTCTGGAGGTCCGGACACACATGATTGACAGACACAAAATGAACCCTCTGTATGGTCTAGACATGCTGGCCGAGGAGTGCAAGGTGCCACGGTTTATGCTTTTCTGCCCTAAAGACAAATGCAAATTTTGTACAAAAGGGAAGGACTTGTTTCTGAAGCATTTGGATGAGTGTGCTAGTGTTGATAATGGCGGGAACTTCACTGATGAGTACAAGAAGAGACTGGAGGTCACGCGAAATTTCGCTTTATCGACACTTAAGAAGGTTAATATATTTGTAATTCATTTTTCATCCTAAAGTTTAGGTAATGCTGAGATTTAGATAGTGTTTAATAAATAATTAATTTTTTCTTAGTTTTTCTTTAACACGTTTAAAAGTGAATCCAATGACTTATTCAGATTCAGATTATTGTAGATTCACAGAAGCTGAACAAAGATCTGAGAACATCCCATTATGGGTCACGTCAGAATGACTTTTTGCGATCTTTGACCGATCAATGAAATGACTTAACAAGAAGTGAAAAATATTTTGACTTAGTTCTCTATTCAAAATGTAGAAACTGAACAAAAGAAAATTCTGGAATGTCTAATAGATGCCCGAGATTGTATGGCAGTACTTCCCACAGGCTAGGGAAAGTCTCTTCTGTTTCAAATGTTTATCCAACTGAAGCGACAGAGAAACAATGATTTTGAGGGAATCAGTTGTACTGCACATAACTGTCGTTTGGAATACCTTGTGTTAACGCTTTCCAGGTTGCTTGAGTAAAAAACACATTCTGACTGTCCCTTTCTCTGCTCTGATGATTGGTCGGATGAAAGGTGGTTCTGACGTGACTTGAATGGGATTCCTCGGATCTTTGATTAGCGTTAGCAAAACCTATGATCTGATTTTCATGAGAGTGAAATACTTAGAAAAAACATTGAGCAAATTCTAACAATCTTAAATTGTTAAATCAACCTTTTTGGTGTGTTGGTGTTTGATATGTTTGGTATTGTTTTGACATTGTACCTTTTTCGTTTCAGCTCCAAATGCTGACTCAGTGATGGGCCAAAAGCATGTTGCAAGTCTGTTTTGGTCTCGCTTATGGAAGTGGTCACCCATCGATGCCAACCAAGAAATGACGTTGACCTGCAATACTGTTTGTAAAGTCAAAGCCTCAACCCAGGCCACTCTGTGCTGATGCATTCAGCCATTTTGACGGATCGAGATTTATATATATTTTGTATTGGTCACTATAAACGTTGTTACCATGGTAACCATTTCAGTAATACATAATAAGGTCCACAAAACTCATAAACATAATCAGCTGGAGAACTGTTATTCTGTACCTGGAATTCCTCTTCTTCAAGCTCATGGGATAGAGGTACTTCTGCATTACAGCCTCACTCTCAGAACATATCTACTGGATAATCTACTGGATGTGGATATCTTTCAGCATGTCCTGTTTGCACCTGACAAGATTTTACCCAGGCCTTTTGGGGGGGTCAGAAGGGTAAAGAATAGATTCTGACATGACCATCTTTGTACATTCGACAGTGTGTTAATCAGTAACTCACAAGCTCCTCTTGTCATGAGGCCAGTATGTATGTGCTTTGTGTTCAATGCTGCACTGATTATTTAAACATTTACCAGTTCTCTTTGTCATTATCATTGAATTCTTTCTGTGCATATGATGCTCATGTATCTATATTATAGTTTCAAAGTGGCGGCTGGACAAGAACAAATGTGAAGACAATACTCGAAACTGGGCTTGACTTTTGTTTCATCTCAAATACACCCAGAACATCTTGCAGCAAAAGAACTTCCTTCCCTGTTGTCAGCTAAACTTCATTTGTGACAGTCTTCTGTTTGTTTAAATAGGCTAAGGGCTCGCTTGGACAAGGCATTTTTGTTTTAGTTGATTTCATGGTTAGAATGGAGAGATATTCCGTGTTAAGTTACCTGAAAGAGAGCTGGAGATGGCAACAACACTTCCAAGACAAAGTTCTGCTGGTTCAGAATGATGATAGAACTGACATTTAGTTCACTGGATAATCGAAGATGAAGACACATCTTTTTCATTTTAGTCCAACCTGTAAAACTGAAACAATGTAAGACCATTAAAATAAAAAGGAAGTGTTTGTTGTGGGAGCAGAAACCAAAAAATGAACATGTATCAATGAATTATGTTGGCCACTGTCTCCAAAGGAAAACCGATTAGTTGAGGAAGGTTGGCCAAAACAATGATTTATAGTCTAATAGGCTGCTCCCAATGTTTTTAGAAGTCTCTACACTGATTGTGTGCTTAGATTGTTCATTTGTGGTATTCTCCAATGGGTCGTGGGTTGAATCACGGTTTGCCCACATTGTCAGCACCATACCTGTGCTCATTGGTTTCACCAAAGTGGTAAACATCTGAGACCTGCATCACTTCAGGCTTTTATCCCGCAGTTAGCTGACACTCTGTGTTATTACTTAAATACTATTCAAAGCAGCGTTAAAACCAACTCACTCACTCAGATCTTGAGAGGAAGTGAAATGGAGTAAAAGATTTGATTTTAGTAAGATTAACAAATGAGAAATGTGAAGTGACTTGTTACTGGTCTGAAATGAACATAATTTCTGCCATACCTCCACCCTCAAAGACAGACCCTGAATATGAGTTGCTTATATCCCCAGTGCATTGATGCTGACCTTATTATGATTCTTTTTCAACTATTTGTAGTCAGTTATTACTATGATAACACTAGAATGTTTTACTTAGTCATGTACAGTTATTTGATGTCCTGTATTATTTTCTATTTCAATATATATTTTATTCACTTTATCTTTCAGGACCTCAGACACTTAATACACTCCAAAGATGCTTTTCAGACCATTGTCATTTTTTGTGTTGAATATTTTAAAGGAATGTTTATTCTATACCACAATGACATCCTGCATTCTGAATGGTCTGCCAACAATACCAAATCTATGTTAGACCACAATTATGCTGATGACAGCATCACCGTGAAAGAAAGTCCCTTTCCTGTAGACAATTTCAATTACTGATTTTACATAATAAAAGACGGAGTTGTGGTACCTAGAATATTCTTAGCAAGTTTAGCCATCTATTTAAACAGAACCTGATGAACAGTGACTAAAAAAGTGTTTTTGAAATTCAGTAATATCAACACAGTTGGACATTTGGCACTTCTCTGTCACACACTGAGGTGTCATGTCTGCTGTAGGACAATGCTTGGACGTCCCTTCTGTAGGGTGAGTGAGTGAGTTTGGTTTTACGCCGGTTTAAGCAATATTCCAGCAATATCACGGCGGGGGACACCAGAAATGGGCTTCACACATTGTACCCATTTCGGAATTTGAACCCGGGTCTTCCGCGTGACGAGCGAACGCTTTAACCACTAGGCTACCCGACCGCCTCCCCTTCTGTAGAACATAACCTTACAATAGTTGTGTGTATGTCATATCAAGACCATTTGAATCAAACTTGCATGGCATCTCTACTGGGTGATTTTAGTGTCTCATCTTCAATTATCAATTAATTACAGTATTATCACGAAAATTCTGTTTTGAGTATTAGAAAACAAACATATCTTGATAAGAAGCGATCATTGCAGATCCCTGAATTTGATAATTCAACCTCTGTTAATATATTAATCACCTTTTATTTGGCCATGTGTCATGGAAGAATGGAGATAAACCAACTGTGTTTTCAACCTATCAGTTCAATATCTTATCAGGGGTAGAATAGGTCTTCAGCAACGCATGCTTGCTGTAAAAGGCGCCTATGCTTGTCGTAAAAGGCTACTAACGGGATCAAGTGGTCAGACATGCTCATTTGGTTGATGCATGTCATCGTTTCCCAATTGCGTTGTCTGATGCTCATGATGTCAATCACTGGATTGTCTGGTCCAGACTCGATTATTTAGAGACCGTCGTCATGTAGCTGGAATATTGCTGAGTGCGGCGTTAAACAACAAACAAATAAACAATATCATATCATTCAGTGTACAATAATCTTGCATGTTATGTCTATATCTACCATCTACACCTTCCTTAAAATGTGTATTGCAACTTCACCATAAGTTTAAAGTGAGATTTAGATCACTTAAGAATTGGTCATTTATTCATGCAACCAGGATTCATGTGAATAGAAAAGTAGAAAACAAAAAGATTGAAAAAGAAAGACGTATGCATGTTTATCATTAAATATATGAACTATTTCTTTGTAAGGCCAGACTTATGACTAGGAATACTTTATTTGATGAATGCTAGATCTTAATTTCTTTTAAAAATATATGATATTTTCTCCACAGAGTTTCAGATCAGTTTTTTTTTAAATTTGGTACTCATAAGGGAGATTGTCCTATCACAAGTCAATAGAATCAAGAAAATGCCATTTGTATAAGATGTATAAATTTATGGAATTCATCCCTACTCCCTGCACAAATACTGTACAAACCTTTCCGTCGCAATGTGGACAAGAAATGTTGTAGGAACCAGGTTGCGACTGGATTTGTTTGCAAAGATAGTACACTGCAAAGCGGCTGTATGTATTCATGGTTGATGGACGAATGTAGTATAGACAGACTCAGGAATGCTTTCCTACCTGTTTAGATGTCATTAGTATGATAGTCTGTTGGATCAATGGTAGTGGACTATTTCTGCTATAGATTTAGATACCTACTGGCTAGAGCTTGTGGAGAAGATCTCTTGGTAATGTTTATGCTTTTAAACTGTAGTCTTATGCCAAAATGAAATAATCTTAGACCCAAGAGCTAGAAGAAGGGGCGCTTGTAAAATTGGCTCAGTATGCTTTGCAGTTGGGCAAAGTTTGTGATGGCCTCTCGTGTCCTGTCTGATGTGATCATGAGCAGAACTGAACAGCTTGTGATACCCCTTCATGCATCCTCAATTATCCAGGGTATTCTAATAGGATAAATAACCTGAACTGATCGCTACCATAGTTTTGTTTAGCAGCTCTTACTTTTAACAGAATTTATCTTTCACACAAGTCTAATTTGGCTGGGTAGCTGTTATTAATATGACCCATAGCTATGGTATTAAATGGGTCAAAGATAATTATCATCAAAGAACAGATATGATACCCTGGATAATCCAATGGTGTCCTGTCTGATCATTCTATGTCCAACTCTGGAACCCCCAGGTGAAAATAGCTCCCCAACACTCTGTCTCTTGTTGTAAGAGGTGACTTAAGTTGAATCGGGTAGTCATGCTCAGTGCCTCGGTTGATTTTGTGTCATCGATCCATGACCACATGGTCAATGCTCACATCATCAGTCACTTCTTGGTCTGGTCCAGACACATTTATTGTCAGTTCATCATGATGGAGCCGGAATATTGCCAGAGGTGACATAAAACATTAGACAAAACAATACAAAGGCTCTTTAAAAACATGTGCCACCAGAATATGATTGAAATGCAACATAATATATGTGTACTTGGACTTTCAGAGCATGTAAAAATTGTAGTATTTTGCCAGATTAAGTCAGTGCATGGAACAGTGAGGATGACAGTAATGGGTGAATTGTTGGGTTGTTCATTTATCAGTTGATTTGTCATAGGTAGAACTGAAACCAATGGAATTAGTCAGTTCTCTCAAATCTGAGACAAGTTTATTTCCAAAGATTAGTTACTTCCAGTTCATTCAGTTTTGGGGCCAGTTCGCAAGCCACCTTTTATGAAGCTGATGTAGTCTTCCCCTAGGAATGACCTGGGCCGTGTTTCATAGCTAGGACTTTTGTAACTGCAACATTGAAGCATTGACTTTTGACAAAAAGGCTTTGTAAACAAATCTTTGGTTTTATAAAGAGTGAGGTGAAAGGAACTATCAGTTCTTGAAGAATCACCCTATGACCACCATGACCATCTCCATTGTGACACCAATTGTTACAAAAGCATATTCATTTTACATCACCATAATTTTCTTCGGATCTTGAAATGTGACAATGTTTGTTAATGCATATAATAATGAATCCTATTGACAAGCGCATTATTAGTATGCAAGTTCTTATTAGAATATTGTAGCACAGCATTGATGGTAACTATCGATATAGTAATGTATTGACAATTATGATCCATCAGTGGGTTGATCAATCATTACACTCCAAGTGGTGAGCATGAACTGAACTGATTGATATAATGATCATTATCAGGATATTTTCATTTCATTATGTCTTTTGATGTCAACTTCATCTTTTTACTTGTCAAAAAGTCAATGTATTGTCATAGAGCTATGGACAAACACAAATGTCAATGGGCCAATCATTGCACCCATATTGCTCTGCTTTTGTGAATTCATGTGTGTGCTAGTAATCACTTATGTGATGGAACATCAGAATATTTTATGCTTCCATTTTATTTATTTCATAGTGGTAACTTTAGACACTTGCCTCTTTGCATCTCTGGTCAACCACCTATATGGTGTACATGTCAATGTACTTTAAATGCATCATAAATTCTACTTATACCTTTGTTTTTCGTGTTGTAATTGGAGACAGGTGATGGCTGCTCGTCATTAGGAATAAAATCTGGAATCTGGTGTGGACATGGGTTGCCAAGGCAAATAAGGCGCTGCATGCCAGAAGCTTACGATTGTGGGTCTGAAAATCCTGGTTCGCCCTGATTATGTCTCTAGGGTTCGTCAGCACCATACCCGTGGTCATGGGTTCACCAAAGTGGTAAACTTCTGAGACCTGCATCACTTCGGGCTTTTCTCACACATTAAGCAGACACGCCATGATATAACTGGAATACTGTTCAAAGCAGCTTTGAACCCAACTCAATCAGTGGAATCTGGTCCACAAAATGACCTTGACATTACGGATGTGGAATTAGCCTACACTAACATGGACTTGATGCCCATGGATGGCATAGGACAAGCTTGTAGAAAAGACAACGTTTCCTAATTTCCTCAGAGGTTTCATTATCCATATTAATTTTCGATTCTTCATATGTAGCAATAAAATGAACAAGTTAGTGAATGTTATCGCACACAATAAGACAATGTCAGGGCAGGCTGTCAGTAATTGAGTCTCAACTAGACAAAATATGAGCAACAATCCATGGCACGCATCAAGCCAGAACAGAACCTGACCCAATTGAATCAGCTGTTATGACAAGTGTTAGATACAGAGTACCAGGACCGACCAAGACCACCTGACCCAAGTGTTTGTTTGTTGTTTAATGCTGCACTCAACAATATTCCAGCTATATGACGGTGGTCTGTAAATAATCAAGTCTGAACCAGACAATCCAGTGATTGACATCATGAGCATCGATCCATGCAATTGGGATACGATGACATGCATGAACCAAGTCAGCGTGCCTAACTTCTGATCCCATTAGTTTCCTCTTACTACAAGCATAGTCGCCTTTTATGGCAAACATGGGTTGCTGAAGATTTATTCTAAACCCAGGTCTTCACAGGTCGCTGACCCAAGTGAGTCAGCTCTCACGAGAAGCGTGAGATATTGGGTACCAATGCCGACCAAGACCACCATACTCAAATGAGACAGCTCATGACAGATTCCAGGTATTTACCATATATCGCTGTGTATTAGGCGAGTTTTTCGTACCTCGAAGTAGGGGACTTTCAAGGGGGTACTGACCCAGAATCCATATGGAATGCAAGAATATTAAAAAAATTATGCTTTCATCCTGACAATTGGTCAAATGAGCTTTTCATGGCCTGTTGTGCACCGTTTGTGGCCATGTTAATGTGTAAACAACTCCAAGGGGGTATGTATTTCTTCCAGTGACAATTTCTGCACAAGATTGAGATAAGATTTTCAGAATGTCATCTGACGTTACGTTGTCACTCAAGGGGTTTACAGGATTTGTACATCATGAGACAGAGGGCTGTTGGTGTACATGAACATTCACCCTCACTAGATCCTGTACCCCCTGGTATTGACACATGTAAGATAGTTATCACTACAATTTCAACTGACTCTTAGTATTGAAACTCAAATTGAAATTCCAATGTGACATGACGTGCAAGTATCATTATCTAGTGCTCATGAATTTTTTTGTAAATAGATTTGATTATGATTTCGTGATTGTCCATGATGTTACAGTGAGTGAGTTAAAATTGAACGTGGCATCGGCATTATTTCAGCCATAGAGCAAAAAGAACAAGTTGATATATCCACAAGTGAGTCAAAAATATAAAGTATGATGTTAGTCATATTACAATTTAGAAAGTAGAAAGCTTGGTCCAGACAATCCAGTGGTTGATAGTATGTGTATAAAACAGGTAAAGTCGGCCTGACTGTTCGTAAAGTAGTATTTCTATAAGAATGTTTTTTTCTTTTCATGGGAAATAACCCTTCACATTTGATATGCACATTATCCTAACCTAACCACCTGAAGCATCATAAAATCTCCTCCTTTATATGCATGATGTTGTATAATAGACCTAATGGACTGGGATAAATCTTTAATTCAGGTTCCAAAGACAGTAAGGTCACACATGTTAATCATCAGATGCCAAGCTCTGATGACAAGTATGAGATACTTATAACATTCCACCCTGGAATCCTCCCTCAGGCAGAAGGTAATCATTTTACACATGAAACACTGCCCCGTCACATTCCATCAGTGTGTCACGGTCTCTTGTAGTGGAGGGGTCCCAGGTCACCCTGTTGTCTTAAGTGCCACAATTCACTGTCCAGAGTTGTCTCCTTAGGCATACCAGAAACAACATCGAGGGTTCAAATCCCAGTTTCCTCTGATTATGTTTCTATGTTTATCAGAACAATACCCATGCTTGTGTGTTTCAGCAAGGCGGTAAAAGTCAAAGAACTGCATCACTTCAGGCATTTCAAAGCGATTTGAAACCTAACTCACTCATGTCGGGAAGACATCATTGGTCATATACAGCACTTCTTTTATGACTATGTATGTGAAATAGCTTGATTTTGGTAGAAAACAACTGGTCCTTATAGATTTTCACTGGTCTTGCAAAGCATGCACATCAGTTCTTATGTTTATACCTCCATAAACACACAAAATATTGACACAAGGAATCTTCATTCATTGCCAACCTGTGTGGGCTAAGGTGGCACATGTTGCTGTGCAGGGTTGCCTCCCTTAGTGATCAGGACCTGCTGGTCATTGGTTTATAACATTGTCTCATATCCCAATTGCGTGGATCGATGCTCATTATGTCAATCACTGGATTGTCTGGTCCAGACTCAATTATTTACAGACCGCTGTCATAAAGCTGGAATATTGCTGAGTGCGGCATTAAACAAACAAAACATTACATTAATTGTACTATGCAATAGATTCAAATCTGCTCCTGTTATCAATAGATAATCCATATACAACATCTACCATTAAAAACCAACTCCATGCAGCCCACCTGAAAGCAAGGCATCTTGTGAAGGGTGAGACCCTAACAGCGCACCATAGGTGGCAAAGATTGGGGTGGGCTTGGCAACACCAGAGATGGGCTGTGCGCCAATGGTCTTTATAGACGGATCAAGTATTGTCGATAGCATGCATAAGAATTGACAATTTCAATGTGTTTTGCTAATTTCAACACTGCCTGAGTGGAGACTAGAGTTACTTCTGACATTGTCGGCAATACCTTATTCATTTCTGTTATGTTGATTAATAGTAATTACCAAGTCTTAAAGTTTGTTTAATACTATAACAATACAATTGCAAGAGTTAACAACTATCACAACACTACTGAAGAAGTGCGGGCTACTATTGCAAGACAATCGCAATTATGAAAATAGCCCCAAGAGACATTACCAGCTGTCATAGTTCACACCTGACGCGACCTCCTCTGTAGGTGTCAGCAGATTTTCACACAAGTATCGTAGTAGAGAAAGTAGAAAAGTATCGTATCTGAGATCTGACCTAAAGAGGTTGGACCAATATTTAGTGTCTGGACTTCAGAACATGAATGATGACAGCAGGAATCCTACGGCAATCCATGATTGTAGAACCTGCTGCTTGTTGTTTCTACCCCACCTTGCTGACAATACTGTGAAGCCAATTTCACTCACTCACTCACTCACTCACTCTATCAGGTTGTTGGAAGCCTGCGTAGCATACAACTAACATGTCCTCATGTTCAACAGGTCATATGTTTGCAACATAAGAACAACAGATTTATACATCAAACATTTACTCAGTAAAAATAACAAAAATGCAACTGCAAGACCAATATAATCTAGTGCTTATTATCAGGTTATCATGGTCATTAGATGCTTTCACAATGCTGCTTCGACTACCATGTTGTTAAAAGCAACAATATGATTCAGAATATGGTATATTGGTTAAGTATGGCAAACCATGGAGACCTAGTTGGAGTTTTTCTTTTTGTCTTGTGGTTGCTTCACAGATAATCTTGCCCTAACTTCTGCACATATGAAAACGAAAAAATGCTGAGCTTGTTATATGCTACCCTGCTTGTTGGCAACTGTAACTAAACTTTTGAAACAGGACCTCTTGGAGAAAACATTTTCAAGCATTTCTAAGTGATAATCTCAATTCTATGGCACTGATATAAAATTGACCTTTTTGCTTCGTAAGTGAGCATCATTCCACCATGCCCAGTTGGTCAGCCTTCATACATCTTGACATACTGGAGATAAAATTGTCTGCCCGAAAGTAGTACAAAACAGTGCTGTTGTGTTGTCTTTAAGTAACAACTGTCTTAGCAGAAACAATTTCTTTCGATCCAATGGTTTTTAGTTCTAACATTATTTAATCAAATCCAAGGCAGATCTGGAGAAAATGTGTTTACAGCTACTGACATTTCTGGTTTATTTTATGAGATAATAACACTATAATCTGAATCACTGAAAAAAAAACAAAGCCTAGCATAACAGGAAATAAAATTGAAAAATTAAGTTTTCATGTCTGGTGATGTTTTATTGCAAATTTCAAATTTTCATTGACCATGTTTGTTATCTCCTGTTCCTTTAGCTTCAGCGTTATGATGTAGTTTTAGAATGCTCACAATGTATGAAATAGCAGTTTTTACTGAAACTCGTCCCCAAGAATGTGAGGTACCGCTTTATGCTCATGTATGCATCATACACAAGAAAATATGGTTCATGTATATGACACAAGCTTGTGAAGACAATGATCACCTGATATAATGTATATACTATATATGTGGGAAACAAATGCAAATAGTGAAGGATTGAGGAACTCTTGTTAAACATGACAATTACTAATGAACAGGCATTATCATGATTATAAAAATAAAGTCTGAACCAAGCAAACCAGTGACTGAAAACAATCCATGGCATCAGGATGGCACGGTGACACACAATCAGTCAAGTCACAAAGCCTGCCTTTAGGTTTGTGTGGCGATACTCATGGACAATAACAAGAATAATCAACATACACTTGTGCTGATGTAAAACCAAGACAACAATAACAAAAGTCTCCCTGCAGTGTTTGCTGGCAGATGACCTGCTCTTATCACCACAATCTTGAGTAACAGGCTCATCACTGGAATCTTTTTTAATTTTAAACATGACATTATTTAAACATAACAAAAACCCAATAATCAGATCCTTATCAAACTGCAGATCCTTGTCAATGCTTCATCAGTATGCGTATGCGTATCCATCATCCGTGAATACGTACATACGTTTAATTAGTCAAAGTATTCACTTGTTTCCTTCTGGCTGGAACCAGGCTGTGGCTTGATTCTCAGGTCATAAGTAGCGCCTACACCACAAGTGGCTGTATGTATTCAAGTGAGATGGAGGAGGGTGTACAAACCAATTAAGTACTCACCATGCCTGGAGATGTTAATACTTGGTTAAACAGAAAGAAAGATGAATTCACAAGTTGTTGGATTCTATTTTGTAAAAAATGACCTTAAAATTTAAAAAGAGAAAAATGTATACCCCAAACAAGTCTGTAAATATCCTGTCAATACCTGCTGCATCATCCTGTCAGTACCTCCTGTCGATACCTCCTGAATCATCCTGTCTGTATCTCCTGAATCATCCTGTTAATACTTCCTAAATCATCCTGTTAATACATCCTGAATCATCCTGTCAGTACCACCTGAATCATCCTGACAATACTTCCTGAATCATCCTGTCAGTGCCTCTTGAATCATCCCATCAGTTCCTCCTGAATCATCCTGTCAATACCTGGACCTTCCTGTCAATACTTCCTGAATAATACTGTCAATACCTCCTGAATCATCCTGTGAATAATTCTTGAATCATCCTGTCAATAATTGAATCATCCTGTCAGGTCACTCTGATTCATTCTTTTGCATTCAAGTTGCATTTATAAATTCTCTAGAAACCAAACTTTCCATTCAGACATACAGGGATATATCAATGATTCCAAATAAAGTGCCCATGGCAGGAAATCTGGGAAGAAATCATTATCGTGCTCAAATTAGTCACCTCTACAAAGCCATAACATGAGCAGTACACCTACAAAATATTAAATCCTATCCACCATGTATTTTGCTACTACTAATATCTAACAGCACACAACAGCAGACTATTAAAATAGGGAGATGAAGATAAAACTAAGCATCAGAGACATCCATTGAGTCCACTTTTCAACAAACAGAATATTTTACATTAACTTTAACATGGAAACTTAAAATGACATTTAATTATGTTAGCATTTGCCTTTTTACTGAGGCAGCTAAGAGACTGTTATTTAGGAAACATCTTGTGCACATTCATTACCAAAATGGTATATGGTACCCAGAATTCTTTGTGATCATATAACATAAAGTGGGAAATTTGTAATGTCATGGGGATGTCTACTGATATTTAACATGACAACACCCCAGTCATATACACAAAGTATATCCTTCCGGGGGAGATTCTTAAAGGATACAGTAGTATCCTCCAAAATGTTCCTTCATCTAAAGTTATCTTACTTCTTTTTCATTATCTTTCTTTTCTTTGAAATTGGGAGCACTTCCTTGCAATAAGATGCTGCCTTCTTGTCAGTCTCCCTACATCTCCTATGAAGTCTCTTGACAACCTCCCCTAGGCTTCTAGAATGCTGGCAGAATGTACTCCCAGTAGAAACCTGATCAAAACAGGCCATGCCCAATTGAACACTCCCTCTTGAGTTATTAATCAAAAGGTTTGTGTCTGTGCTAATGAGAGTTTTGGAATGACCAGTTGTTGGACCCCCAGTATCTTTGTGAGTTGCATGGGTACTTTCTGGGGTTAATTCAGGAAGATATCTGGGTCTAAGTAGAGTTGTCCTCATCTTGCTTTCGCTTTGCTCACACTGTGTCTGCAGGTGTGACATTATCTGGCCAGTTTCTAAATCCTCAGATTGTTCTGATGCTGTTGCAACAGAGCGTTCCTGATCCTCCAAAGCCTTGATTATCATTTCACTGGTCTGCTTTTTGATGAGACCCAAACTGACATCCTTCATCAACATCTTTTGAAACTGATGATCATTTGAAGACAATCTTGACCTTTTAGCCTCTGATTCTGATAGGGCTATTTCTTGAATTTGACCAGGTCCCTGAGGCATGTTTGCATCATATTGTTTGACAGATGGAGACTGCAATAGCTGTGCAATTATACCAGGAGAGTGATTAGGTTCAATACTTGTGGTATCATCAATTGTTGCCGCTTTCTTTGAACCCACAGAAGGTAAAGACTTTGCCTCCTTACCTTCACGACATTGACCAGCAGGAATGAGAGAGTCTTCCTCCAGTTTCTGAGGTTTATGCTCTAAATCTAAGGACTGGGATGCTGCTGAAGAAATCCCACTTCTTGACGACCTTTCTATGGGGTAAAATGGCACTTCTGGATACAGAGTAACATGGTCCTTATGACAGCGTTGTGTATTTCCTTTCAGATAATTGGTGAAAGACCCATTGTTATCTGCAACAGTTTTAGTAATTTTCATTTTGATGTTTGTAACACTACTCCCTGCCACAGCAAAGCTCCCTGTAGTTCTCACATCATCAGCATGATCATCTGGTGAAGGAATCTTCCTGCTTTCTGTTCCAAGGTATGCCCTACCTGGTTGTGGTTCCTTCACTGAAACTCTGTCTATCAGTGGACACACTGTATCCCTCAAACATTCCATGGGTTGTGCTTCAGGGAATAAGGCAACAGACAGTCCTTCAGCCTGCTTGGTAATAGGGACTCCACCTTCATTAGTACACAGTAACTGTTCTGCTACATCTGGAAAGTTCAGCACAATATATGGTGACTCTTTCACTGCTTCTGTATCAGGTAAAACTGGAGGACAGAAGTTTGAATCCACGTTTTCCTTCCCTTTGTTTCCACTTTTATGTAATTTTCCTACAGGTTTAATAATACAGGATGATTTTTCATTTGTATGATGAGAATCATGTTTGATGGGACTGATTGACACAGTCACACCCTTAAGCTCTGTTGGTGTCTCAGTGTCATCTTTAGTGAGAGGAAGTGAAATTTCTTTATTCCCAGCTACATTCAAGTTGTCCTTGAAATTCTGATCTTTTATCAAAGTTCTGCTGACTGGCTCCAAATGGTCAGCATTCATTGGGTCATAGATTCTACACTGCGTTTCAATTGAAATTTTTGGTTTTCTCATTCTTGCAAGATCAACAGTCTCATCATATGTCTTCATTTCAGCTGTAGTGTCATGTTTAGCATCATCACATCTAACCGACAATACCTTCATATCTCGACTGTCTGGCTTCAGCGTATTCTGATGGTATAATTCTCTGCCGATATGATCTTCCGGTTTCCCACCCCCAAAACTACTGACAAGAGATTTTGATGAGGATGAAGTTTCAACAAAGACAGGATCAGTGTTATACATCTGAACCTGGTCAATGAAATCTTTAAGTTCCTGAGCAGATTTAACTGCTTTATCTGTCTCTTCAATATTGTCCAGTTCTTCAGCAGGTGTTGCCAGTAATAGTGCCTTTAGAAGTGTGGTATCCTGCACATCTCTAGGGATAAGAGCAGATGTCTGGCTGTCGGTGTTACCGTGGTTACTGGTGCTGGGCTGTCTCTGTATACATATGCTGCATCTATCCTCCACAAAGCTGCACAGTGCTGACATGTTCACTGCTGTCTTCATCTGGTGTTGATGTTTCTGAAGGGAATGGCGGAGAACTGATGCTCGACAGAAGGACTGGAAGCTGCACCACTTACACCCAAACCGGTGCTGTTTGACCACATGGTCCACAATGGCATCTTTGCTGTCTCCAGAAAAGTGGCAAAAATTACACCAGTAAAACCTGGAGTCCAATGAGGAAAGGACTGTTGTATTGTTTGTCTTCAAGAATGTCTTTGAAGCCACGGCACTGAAGGTCTGGGTACAGTGGGAACAGGCGCTAGCAAGGTCAGAGAGAGGAGTCTCCACAAACCCTAGGCTCACCAAAGGAGAGGGATGGGTTACACTTGTTGTTGGACTATTCAAGCGACTGACAAACATGCTCTTCATAGTGGGTTCCCTCTGTCTGTAAACCAATCAGAAAAAGTGCAAACATTGTGGTGTGGTTTCTCTACACCCATGATATTAAAAACATTAACCAGATACCCTTTTAACTGGAATCCATATCATCATGTTTCCTTTTTGACAAAGACATTTCTACATGTGCTATTCATGAAATAGGATAGTCTCACTGAAATAGGATATTTTACTATGAGTGAGTGAGTGAGTGAGTGAGTTGGGTTTAATGCCGCTTTTAACAGTATTCCAGTTATATCATGGCGTGTCAGCTTAATGTGGGAGGAAAGCCCAAAGGGATGCAGGTCCTAGACGTTTACCACTTCGGTGAAACCCACGAACAAGGGTATGGTGCTGACAAACCTAGAAACATAATCGTGGGATTCGAACCCACAATCATAGGTGTCTGGCATGCCCAAGGGACGCAACTCTGCACAGTGAATCGCGGCGCCTTAGATGATTGGGCCACCCATGCTCCCTATTTTACTCTGATGTGATAAACCCCTATGCATAAAGATCTAACAACACCTCCATAATAGGTCATGTCAGGTGAAACCTGAACAAACATTGACTGTCCAATCCATATGTAGGATGCATAGGTTCTTGAAATGTTAGTTTTCTAAAATGGTTAAGCTTCATTTCTTAACCACAGATTCACCATTTTTTATTTTACCAAAAGAAACACAAATGTTCCCATGATAACATTTCACAGGCTCAAAATTCATTATAGCCCCATTCCGTGATCATGTGACAGTAGATAACGAGAAATAAATCATTTACAACGGGTCTTTGTTTCGTCTTCAGTTTGGCAAGATTTATCAGCAGCTTGTTGTAAAGACAAAACATTACGCAGGAGCCATGATCTATTTCATGCGAGTAGTGGACTGGTGGTTCAAGATTCAAGTCATCTTGGGCAAAGATGCAAATATTGATACAGTAAATAGAAACCTAGGGTTTGTCATAATAAAACTCAACTAATAATAAAACTCAACTAATATCCCTGGCTATCCGCCTTTGACTCCAGAGTTATCTTTTTGTTTTCTGCATGTTACACGTTAGTTTGAAAGAGTCTCTGTTTGAGATCAACCAACCTTGGACTGACATGAAGCCCCCCAACGGCTGTGCTGTTTTAATCCCAAAATATATGACTATGACCTACAAATGTCAAATAACAACAACTAACAACTCAGGCGTCAACAGCAGCGATCTGATCGTGTTGCTGTTAATCACTTCACACATGAATTTGCTGAAATTAATGTACACAATATTTAATGAAATTATGAATTTAATTAATGAAATGAATTAAATTCCCAAAACCAGAATTAGACAGAACTTTACATTTTTCTTGTCTCCAGATATGATTTTGAAATACTTTCAAACCTCACTTTTCTATTATCTGCTTGTATTTTGCCAGCCATTGCTGGTCTCGTTAGGAGCGTTAAATGTGGAAGATAACTATATAACTTAATCTGAGTAATGAGTGCCCGGGTTGGGTAATAGTGTTGCGAATACCTGGGTAGTAAATTGTAACCACGCAGGCCTTGTTACGCCTTATGTATTTCATTTTGTATTTGGATGTTTATTAAAGTTCATTTTCGTGATAGAGAAATCAGATATGCTGCTCTGAATGAATGCTAACTTGTACCAAGAATTTGGAATGCTCAGCAGTAATTGGTGGATTAGAAAGTTCACTTGACATGGCCTATGGAGTGAGTAAGTGAGTGAGTATTTTTTATAGCAATATTCCAGCAATATCACATCAGGGGACACCAGAAATGGGCTTCACACATTGTACCGTTGTCTGGAATTGAACCCCGGTCTTCGGCGTGACAAGCGAACGCTTTAACCACTAGGCTATTGCCTTTGGAAGGGTTGTCAGATCTTCATATTCATTTCACTATTACCAATGCAGACATGTTGAAAATGGGACATATATATGTTAATAGGGACAATACACCATTACATAAGACTGCACGATTCTTTGGTCTTACAATTTCACCTTTTCACACTTGTAGAAGTTCTTTCAAATTGCAGTTTTGGAAAACTGCCGGAATGTTAGTCTAATTGGTACTTGTTGAATCCAATATATTTACGCCAAAACAATAAGATGTAACGCCAATCATTTCACATTGTTAATGCTGGCATGATTACGTCATGGAACAATGTTGATGCTTGACAATCAGATGACATCACTAAGATTCTATTGATTAAAAGAAATGAGGGAATTCGATCTAAAGTTATTTTAATGAGGCCTATGTTGTGTAAGAATAACAGCGTCTTGTAACATACATATATCTCAGTCACAAAATGCTTGGTCAAAGTTGCCACTTTCATTGGATCCATGGAATAGTGTCTCTAACTCACGAAAAGTATTTTCTTGACAAAATGTGATGAACGGGATAGATTTATTTAGCGTGTTATTTTGACAAGACCAATCAAATATCCAACATACTTAAACTAACATTCTTACATTATTTATGTCGTTCTTGCAACGATGTTAGTCTCAAACTCACGTCTGCGGATTTTTGAAAGTCTTCTATGACCTTCGGAAACAAGGGCAAGTAACTCCTAACCTGGTCCTCCTTGAGTTCAAAGTACTTTTTTATAAATCAGTCAACTAGTACGTCTCTATCAAGCGTATTTAAATAATTATATTTCCTGTAGTTTACTTGACATTGTAATTATTAACACGTGATAAACTAACGTCTCCGTATAATTGGGATTATCGTTCTCTTCAAGATTGTGGCGTTTTAAAGACGCAAATCAAACTTCCTTGGACTCATACATAACCCTCATCTAATCAGGCTAGGGCACTTAAAGGTTTCGATCGTCACTGTTTCCTTGTCAAACATAGCAAAGAGATTTGCGCGTTATACAGAGATATATTTCGAACCAGTTCGAACTCTCTCGTTTATTTAATAAAGTTAACGTAATAAATAATGTTCCATGAATGTAAAACGTTTTAATGGGGATCAACCATTTGATTTTAACGGGTGGGGCAGGTTGTTTTCTAAAAAAATATATATAAAGTCCCTGTTTTGTTGAAAAAAATACATTGTGGGAAAACAAAAAATGTGCCCGTTTCTTGCAGACAAGAGTCCAAGGAATACAGGTGGGTTTTTTTAATCTACATTAAAATACGGTTATAACGAACTCAAAGGGACCACTAATTTTATTTTGCAATAACCGTAGTTTGTTATAAGCATATATTCAGCATATATACCACAAATGGCTGGGAATAAAAAATAAGTTCGTTATATCGGTCAGTTCGTTAAAAGCGTGTTCGTTATAAACGTAGTTTACTGAAATTAAAAATAAGCACCTGTTTTTCATTGAACAATTGGACTCCTAAACATTGAAAAAAAGCTGATCTCAAACCAACCATTCCAACTACCCACCCAACCCGAAAATGAAATGGAATAATTGAAATAATCAACACTGAAACCTAAGAATTCCTTTATCTATATTCCAAAGTAATGAATATTTACTGCAGTTTCTGTTACTATAAAGCCGGACAAACGAGCGAGTCGTCTTTGAATTATATATTTGCATCTACAAACTTTATTCGAATTTTTTTAAGAGAAATTGTAGGTTTCCAACTGAACCTATGAAACCATGCTTGTCGTAAGAGGCGACTATGTTTGTCGTAACAGTGAGTTGGGTTTAACGCCGCTTTTAACAGCATTCCAGTTATAGCACGGCGTATCAGCTTAAATTGGGAGGATCGAAAGACCGAAGGGATGCAGGTCTCAGACGTTTACGACTTCGGTGAAAGCCACGAGCAAGGGTATGGTGCTGACAAACCTAGAAACATAATCGGGGCGAACCAGTTCGAACCCACGATCATAGGTGTCTGGCGTGCCAAGGGACGCCAGTCTGCACAGCGAACCGCAGCGCCTTATATTAGACGACTGGACCCGTGCCCCCTTGTCGTAAGAGGCGACTAATGGGATCGGGTGGTCAGGCTCGCTGATTTGCTTGATACATGTCATCGTATCCCAGTTGCCTAGATCGATGCTCATGATGTCAACCATTGGATTGTCTGGCCCAGGTTCGATTATTTACAGACCGACATCATATCGCTGGAAAGTTGCTGAATCCGGCGTTAAACTGCAGACAAACAAAACCAGTGTAGTAATATGCTTATCATCCATAGTTTGAAATTAGGTGTAGTATTGTCAAAAAGTGTATTTATCTTCTTTATGGGAATGCGTGGCGAGAAAATTGCAGAGTGAACAGTGATATATGCCCTCAGGCGTCATTTTCATTTTGACGCAATTGAACACTGTTAACAATAATGTGTTTATTACGTTAATAGAGAGTATTGGTCGAGTCCGTTTCCGTATCGTAAATATCATATGTCAAGAATAAAAGGAAAATATTATGCGGTTCGCCTTTGGCGAGCATATAATACATTTTTTGTATTCCTGATATATGATATTTACTATACGGATACACACGAGGGTATTGATCTCTATATCATATAATGCCATTCCTTAAATAGTCGTTAAGGCGTATTTTGACAATGCGTATGAATACAATGTTTGAGTGAACCGCCCCATTCATCATATAGTGCCAACTGATTTACAGCCTTGTTTGTCAGCAGAAACACCACAGATTCCGCAGTGAAACCCCTATCTAAACATTGGGGAACATCAGACAATAAACTGACCAAGAAGACATTGAATCGATGGATGGAGCTTGAAAGTAGTTCCCTTCTGGGTGACCTCGTTTGCACATGTATCGGATCGTGATACCACGGTAATCGTATCGGTTTATCGATAATAACATCCATTATATGCTGAACAATAATTATTAATCTTACCCATTGGGTCACGGATATAGCTGAATAATATTTACTGTAATATTCTCACAGATCATTATAGTTTTTACCTCCTGCTGGTTTGCTAGTGATCCATCGTTTTCATTGTTTGCGAAAAGAGGCAACGTGACGTCATGTCAACGCATATTACTAGTTATGAGCTGAGCCCAATATGTTTCTGCTAACCTTATATAACACCGTATACGGCAACTAAGGGCACAATAACGAATTTATCATGCCGAAACGTTTGTACTATGTGATATCCATATCGCACTACTCTTCTAAGCTTTGTACGCTGACGTTAAGGGTCAGAGGGAGACTACTCCTTGTTGACAATGTTTAACTATAATCTTTATTAATAAAGTCACGATCGTGATTTAAAAAAAAAGATTAATGTCCTTGCACATCACAATTAATGATATGAAAACACAAAACAGTGTCGAATAAGCAATTTATGTTCCAGTCTTTTCATGTGATGAATGTGTGGGTGTTGGAAAATGGCTGTCACTGACGGTAGACGCGGTCTCATATTAGGTCAGTAACAACCATCTTGGATTTTTATTTACGGTATACGGGCTCACGTGTGTGTATGGGGGGATGGGGTGGGGCTGGGGGTGGGGGTAGGAGGTGGGTCAGTTGTTCTGCTCTCTGATTGGTCAATCTCATTTTGAGGCTTAATAAAGACCTCACAAAATTCAGAGTGACAATTCACTCTCCGCAAGACTGTTTGACAAAGAGGACGATTTCAACTTTCCAATAGTCAACTTTCCCTTTATGTCGAGCAATATTCCTGCAGCTCCGGCCCTTGGTGTCTACATCTCACAACTTTTGAGGTACAATGGAACTCGTCATATACAACTCTTGTTCAGAAGTTGTGTGATGAAGGTTACAACATGCAAGGCCTCGGTAAAGCTTTCAAAACGTTTTATGGGAGACATGTGGAGCACATTTCCAAATTTGACCCATCAGTGACAAAAATGATGTCCGATGCAATTCTCTATTTTGACTTGTACCATATCTACCCGTGTTGTTAGGTTAACAATTGATTTGCCTTTGCATGTGTTTGTGGCGGGTGCCACCCGTGGGGCAGGAACGAACGAGCGATTAGTGATTAAAGCGTTCGCCCATGACGCCGAAGGCCCGGTTTCGAGAGGGTGGGTACAATGTATGAAGCCAATTTCTGGTGTCCTTCGCAGTGATATTGCTGGAATATGGCTAAAAGGATCGTAAATTAAACTCACTCACTCACGCCATGTGGCGAAGCGAAATAGGATCTTCAGCGTGACCAACGAACCTTTAACCATTCGGCGTCTCCTAATATAACATGGTTAACTCATTATGTGTTGAAAATACAACGTAATGTCCATATCTAGTCTTATAGCCTCAGAAAATATATAAATTTTAATAGAAAAAAGCAACTACATTAAAATTGAAAAGGAGCCCCATTGACCAGTGAGGTGGGAGTTTCAGGACCTGTGGAAATTTCTAGACTTGCTTCATTTAGAGATATGGCACAACAATACGGGCTGGGCGGAAGGGAACATAGTTAATATGGTTCAGGGACTGTAGTGAGACAGACCAAATCCGTATCATATAGTTGTAAAGTTGGGGTGTGATCGTTCAACATATAAAATATGCAAATATAAATATGAAACCAAGAAGAACCAAAAGAGCTATCAATTTGGTATAAACTCTCACATTTAAATGTTATTGATATAATAATTTTTTTCTTGAAAACAAATTATTCTTGATTTCATGCGAAATGGAGATAAAAAACCTATTGATAAAAATCATTTTGAAAATTACTAATAACAAACGTCAAACACTAGTTAGACAATAACTGATTCCCTAATTTCAAATTTCATGGCGGAAAGAAAATACTGGGTCAAGCGAACTCCACTAGATCTGCAGGGGTTAGCTCCCTTCTGGTGACGTCATTCGTAGCGCGTCACGCACATACAGAGAGGTGGAAGAAAGCGGGGAGAGCTTTCCGGGTGCCGTACATACTTTTAGTGACCTCGACAAGCATTATTGTGATTACTTGGCATAGGCGAAGCGGTAGTAGGTAAGCGTGGTTGTTATATAATATTTATATACCAAATATGTAATAATCTAAACGTAATGTAGGGTTTTTGAGCCCGTGCAGTGCAACCATGTTACTGCTCCTATCGTGGGCTATGGCGCGCGGGTTCGTTGTCGGCGCGACGGGCACCTGCCGGTCTCGTTATACAGCATGATGCAACCGTAGTCTCATTGTTTGTAATAAGTGCACATATATACTGGTATGCGGATGTTTTGTCTACACGTGTTTGGTCAATTTACCAACGTGTGACATGTAAACGTAATGCTACCGTGTCCGCATTGTAGCGTTATAAGGAGGCGGAGTGGGACACGAGACTGGGAAGGCCACTTATATTTAGGTCACCGGTGTGGCGATTGTTTCACGACCATTCCCCACTCCACTCTGTCAATGATATTATGGGAAGACATTTTTTTTCCTTAACGCCGGTCACTCCATTCATTTAGGTTCAGGTTGTGTAACATCATATTTAAAATTTATGCTATAAGAGAATCGAGAAATTAACCTAATTCATTAATAGCATGTGGTAGCCTATTGTAAGAAAATGTTGTAGCCCTCAAACAAGACAGAAAGCCATACAGGTATATGACTTTTGGAAAACAGAACAAAAGATTTTTCATCATTGTCCATGAATTGTGATTCATATACAGAGAACACTGCGAAAACAACATTTTGCCTCTCAGCATGCTGAGGGGTGTGTTTTGAAATAGCCATGCCATTCTCTCTCGACCCACCATAGATGACCTCAGGACAGTTCCATTTTGGCATTCCTTCGACATTGTTAACTAGAAACTAATAAATATATTTCAAAACAGTTTAATTTGATGGAGTATTTTTTTACTCATGTCATCTAACTATTAGTGTTATATTTTGCAACATGGACCTTTCAATCAAGTTGATTCTTTTCGAAACAGAGCATTTTCAAACCTATTGTACAAATTGGACAAGAAGCCACTTATTCTTGACTGATGTGATGAAGTGCTTGTTTGTAAAAACAACATTGGATTAAAATGCCCCTGCATATTATATATATCTGCTGCCACTAAGTTGCTTACGCATGATGATTTTGTCCTTTGTTCCCAGTTCAGATCACAGTTTTGCCTCGATTAACTTTAGGCTTTCCTCCCACATAAAGCAGACACACATGATATAACTGAAATATATGATATAGTTGGCTTTAACCAAACTCCCTCACTCACCGAATATGTCCTCAGTACTTTCTCTCTCTTCTCCCCCCCCCCCATGCTTGTAAGAGCAGACTTACTAGAATTGGGTGATCACAATGTGATTTTTTTCCTTAGTTTGATGTTTAACGCCACATTCAGCATATGTATACAACAGCGGTCTGTAAATAATCAAGACTGAACCGGACAATCCAGTGATTGACATCATGGGCATTGAGCCATCGATTCACGCAATTGGGATACAATGAAATGCATTAACCAAGTCAGTGAACCTGACCACCCGATCCCGTTAGTCGGCTCTTACGGAAAGCATGGGCTGTTGAAGACCAATGCTAACCCTGAATCTTCACAGGCCGACCACAATGTCATACCTGGCTGCTTGTGAATCATGGTACCTCACAGTCACAGTGTCCGAAACAATTGCCTGTGTTCGTGCCTGGTAACCTTTCCATTGGGCTGCATGATATTTTCCTCTACCTGCCTGACTGTCTGGCAAATAATTTTAAGACTACTTACGTATTCAGTTTTTTGATAACTGAAATAACTATTTTGACTTATTCAAGACATGATTTGTCTCTTATTTTTTGCGGTTTTTCAATATTTATTATGTCTGATTGCGGGCAGGAAACCTTGAAGAGGGGCAGGCAATACTTACGGGTCGCCTGCTTGCAGGCCCGGGGCATGTAGATCTTGTGTCTGGCCTTTAGTTTCAAATTTGTATGGGTCCTAATGGCCAGCTGTAAATGTATGTGTTGATTTATTTGTCACAATAAGCTTCAGTGTTTTGAAAGAGGGCCTAAAGAGTTTATTCAGGGCCTGTACGTTCTAAGTCTGTGGGTCCTGATGGCAGCCTGGAATAATTTTTTTATTTCAAACACTGCTGGTTTCCCTGGCTGAGATTCTGGTACACATAAACTGCTGTGGTCATGGCTGGAATTTGATGGCTGTGGTGTAAGCAAGTCTAATAGGGAGAACATCAAAATACAATTGGCTTAATCAGACAAAGACCCAACAGTAATCATTTCAGTTCAGGGAATTCAAGTGTGTAGTTGACAGCCTTAACGTTATCATTATAGGACCGTGTGACAAACATACTTGCATGCTGCTTTTACTGTTAAAAACCAAGACAGTTTGTATTCGTGTGGGCAGCGTTAATTAAGCATGTCTTGTCATTCTTACAGTAAAATCAAGTGTTTGCCTAAGATTAGCACGTATATTTGCACAAGGTGGAATAAAAAGAATTTTATTGTGTTCCCAACTTTACACTTCATAGATCAGAGTAGAATTTGTAGTGCATGTTAAGATGACTGATTTTTCCTGTCCACTTCTTTACAAGACATTCTGGCATTAAAGTGGCGATGGACACAGGGGTTTTGGATGGTGTTTATTCTTATCTGGTTTAATCTGTGTACAGTTAATGATAAATTTTATATTCTTTTCAAAAGTTGCTTCAGAGTCGTATAGACATGCTAATAAGGTGATGTGATTGTTTCAATGTGAGAACCAACAGTCAGTGTGAATGTATTTAAGGTTACAAATTCAGTTGTGGCTCATGCTGTCATCCCTGTCAGAGAGTTGATTATGACAGTGGTGGCTCATGCTGTCAGCCCTGTCACAGAGTTCATTATGACAGTCATGGCTCATGCTGTCAGCCCTGTCACAGAGTTGATTATGACAGTCGTGGCTGACGCTGTCAGTCCTCTTACAGAGTTGATTATGACAGACGTGGCTCATGCTGTCAGCCCTGTCACAGAGTTGATTATGACAGTCATGGCTCATGCTGTCAGCCCTGTCACAGAGTTGATTATGACAGTCGTGGCTGACGCTGTCAGTCCTCTTACAGAGTTGATTATGACAGACGTGGCTCATGCTGTCAGCCCTGTCACAGAGTTCATTATGACAGTGGTGGCTCATGCTGTCAGCCCTGTCACAGAGTTGATTATGACAGTCGTGGCTGACGCTGTCAGTCCTCCTACAGAGTTGATTATGACAGTCGTGGCTCATGCTGTCAGCCCTGTCACAGAGTTCATTATGACAGTGGTGGCTCATGCTGTCAGCCCTGTCACAGAGTTCATTATTACAGTCATGTCTCATGCTGTCAGCCCTGTCACAGAGTTGATTATGACAGTCATGGCTCATGCTGTCAGCCCTGTCACAGAGTTCATTATGACAGTCGTGGCTCATGCTGTCAGCCCTGTCACAGAGTTCATTATGACAGTCATGGCTCATGCTGTCAGCCCTGTCACAGAGTTCATTATGACAGTGGTGGCTCATGCTGTCAGCCCTGTCACAGAGTTGATTATGAAAGTGGTGGCTCATGCTGTCAGCCCTGTCACAGAGTTGATTATGACAGTCGTGGCTCATGCTGTCAGCCCTGTCACAGAGTTCATTATCAGAGCTCACTTCAACAATGGCCCCTGAATGCTCCTTTGTTGGTTGGGTCACAAGTGGCCTAGTGGTTTAAGATGGCGTAATTTGTAATATACTGTATATACTGTATATACTATATCTGCTATATCTGCTATAATATGCCCTTTTAAACAGGGCAATGTTAAACTCATTCATCATGTTCATTAACAGTCTGGTTGAACTTTGTATTAACCTTTAGCATTTTATTTCTACATATTTTTTGTGTTTATGGCAAGCAGTATATTATGATGCAGTGAAACTGTACATCATCTTTGAACCTACAGAATTGTATAGTTATGATTGTGTTGTTGCAGGTGTGAGACATGAGCAGTGGGGACGGAGGGACCAACCCTCTGGGGGTCATAGAGGGCTACCAGGTGTTCTGTAACCCTGAGGATCAGGCCAGTAACACCACAGGTAAATGACACTACTATAGTAGATTCTGCTCCTTCTGGACGCACGGGTGATGCTGTCATCTCAGGCGACACAATTCACACAGTTGTGTCCATTTTGTGTACCGGAACCCGTGTTGGTTAATTCACACTCCTTCCAAAACATCCTTCACAGGAATGAATTCTGTTGAATATTCAACAGATTATGATTCAGAAATGTTCACTAGAGTTGTTGTAATATGTAAGGGGTATTTGAATCGAGTAGATAGTAGACAATTATGCAGTAGAGGTAAAGTATCAGAAAGTAAGGGGAATCCAGGGGACCTTGACATTTCTGTCTATTGAATCAAGGGAAAGGCCACCTGTATATGGTTAAATCTATTAATTTCAACAGCATGGTTACAACAAGGACAACTGAGTTGCAGACACTGAAATAAGATACTGGCTGACTAGTGTCCTATTTTTGTGTTCCAGCTGAGAACAGTAAGCAGCCTGAAGCCCAGAGTGACAGCTCCCCGGCACCACGGCGACGCAGCGACTCCTCTGACAGTGAGCCGCCAGTCCACTTCCAGGTGAAAGCAGAACCTGTAGATCCTGGCTATGAACAGGCAACCAACTCTCCTGCCTCTTCAGACAACAACAGGAATGACACTCCACCACCATCATCTACCCAGTCAGGGGACAAGCCTCCTGTTCAGATATCATCCAGTCTCTGGTCAGGGAGTAAGAAGCCTAAGGAGACCAAGAAAGCAGACGCCTCCGTGTCCAATGTTATAGAGCAGCTACTTCGTAAGAATGAGTATCTGCTGGCCCAGAACGATGCTGGTGGCTTCAAGCCCAATCCTAGGAAATCTCGGAATCCTAACGAAATGATGAAGAAACCGGACAATGCTTTAGATACTAATGGGACAACTTTCTTGGTCTCCCAGACATCTCAAGCACGAATATCAAAGGCTGAGAACCCACCCAGTAAAAACCTTGGTCCTGGACGGATTTTGAGACCAAGAAGTCCTACCCGCAAATGTAGCATTCCCGAGAAGGACAAATCCCATTTTAATCATGCAGTGATGGAATCTAAAGTGAATGACAAATCCAGTGAGAAGATATTCCGAGTGAACACTCATGAAATGGTTTGTGCTGTGTCGTGTAGAGCCATGTTTATGACACAGGGAGGATCTCTTGTTGCCAATTTTGACCTTCACTTTTACTGGTGCAACTTCTGCCCCTACCACACAACCACCAAAGCTCAGTTGCTGCAGCATGTGATGGAGCACCGATTCCACTGCAAGTTCTGCAGGTATCAGTCATTTTCCCGGGCAGATGTCATCCATCACACAGCAGATGCTCATTCAGAGTTCTCCGAGGCTGCTGCCTCTCTCAAGTATTGTACATTGTTGTCAGATTATCTTCAGATATATTCTCAGGATACGGAAGAGGACAAGAAGAAACGAGCTGGAGGTGGGTCAGATGACGAACCCCCAGCCAAGATATCAAAAGTTGATGCAAAGAATCTGTCTGGTCTCTATGCAAACATTGACCCATCTGATCCAAAGAAGATGGACGTGTACAATGCTCTTCAGAAAGACTATGAGTACTTTGACATGGAAGTTGAGACTGTTGATGGAAACGTTGCAAGTGAAGATGTCCCTTCGGACAAGCAGGTCATGGGTGCCCAGTCTACTTATGATGTTTCAAAAATGATCACAAATGTCCAAAGCAGTGGCAATGCCATCCAGGTTCTGCTAGACAAGTCCCAAATCCAAGGGCAACCATCACAAGTTCAGCCGGTTTCATTGGTTGCCTCACAAAATATTCAGAGTGGGTCAAACACCCGGTTTCAGACACAAAACGCAGTGTACACTCCCGTGGGCCCAAGAAGAGTTTTGGGGATTCGGAACGTAACACCTCCCCTCAGAGCCCCTGCACCTGCCAAACCATTTGAGAATCGCCCACCTCCTCCACCACCACCACCTAATAAGATGCGATCAGGATCCTCAGTCTCATCCAATCTGTACTGGAGTTGTGGCTACTGCAACTTCACCAGTCATAGTCAAGGCGAAATCAAAGAACATTCTCAGAAAACCCACAGAGGCCGACCACATCGCTATGTTGCTTTAATTCGACCCCCAGAGAAGAAGCCTGATGAAGCTGATGCCAACAAGAACAATTCATCTTCACCTACATCCACATCCACGGTCACCAGTAAGGACATAGAGATCGACCATGCTGATGACGGTGGCTCAGTAGACACATCAGTAGAGAATTCCAAAAAGGTGGGAGAACCCCCCACATACAAATGCTTCCATTGCTTCTATGAGGTGAAGAAACCAGGACTACTGAAAGGACACATGTCCTACAAGCATAGAGGACTGAGTCTGGTTGGCTATGATGTTCACTGTGAGAGCCCAGACAAATACATGTACTTCTGTCCTCGGGACGATTGCCCATTCCGAGCAAAGAACCCCACAGCGTACCTGAATCACGTAGAGAGGTGCACACCTTGGCACAACAAGGATCTGAATGTGACTGTGGAGCCGTACCTGCTGAAGTGTCTGGACAACACAGTGCAGCTAGCTGAGAAGATGAAGGAACAGGTAAGGACAACAGAAGAGTACTCATGTATCTATTGCACTTTTACAGGTTGTTTCCTCGAGAATGTCTCTTATCACATTACCATGCTGCATGCTGACAGGAGTGTCATTGTGAAAGATTTGGTGTTACGTAGGTTGAAGAGGAAGTGTTTCATCTACCGCTGTAGGGTTTGTGATTGGGAGAACAGGGACAGGGAGGAGTGGATTGAGCATGGGGTCAAGGAGCACCAGCTCCCTGAGGAGGACTTCTGGAGAGATATCAAGGCGTGCTATGCTGGTCCAAGCGGAGAGAAGCCAGCATCTCGCAAATCCAAACTCAAGTCAAAGAAGAAGAAAAAGAGTTTGACACAGGATGAAACGGATTTCAACGATCCTCCAATTTTGTCACCAGAAATTTCAATGGAAACAGATTGTGTTGAAACTTTTATTCCTTTACACATATCATCTGGCAATGATTCTAGCCCTCCCAGCCTCGTAGAGGTCCAGCCAGAGTTGTTGACAAGCATAAAAAATGAACAAAGTGTTCCCAAGATGGTGTCAATACTGCCTCCTGTTCTTCAGTGTAGCCATTGTGACTTTAGTTGTATTGGAATCGTCAACATCAAGGAGCATTTGCAGTTCACACATACAGGACAAGTGTTAGCTTTTTATGACATGCAGAAGAAAGCGCAGAAAATCCAAAGCTACTTCTATTTGTGTCCTTTTGAAAAATGTATTTACTCGGGGGTCAATACTGAGAAAGTTTGTGAGCACAATAAGAAAGTTCATGCTTCATCCACAGTGAACAATGGCAGTGCAGAGGAGGCAGGTAGTCCACCTGTCAAGTTGCAGGTGCCTTCTGCTCCCCGTATCAGACGGCCCGAATTTATGTCAAAATCCAAGAAAGGTCGAGGGAGTTCTATTGGCCCAAGGTCGGTTAGCTTCGTACCAGCCATGCTGAGATGCCAGTACTGTGCTTTCTCTTGTATTGGAGTTCTCACAATGAAGGAGCATCTGATGAAAGTTCATGAAGGGGAGCCCATGACGTTTGTCAATTTGAGAAAGAGGAAACAGAAAGCTAGAAGTATCTTTCATATTTGTTCACATGGGATGTGTCCCTACACTCACTCTGATGTTTGGACTGTGGAACTTCATTATGGTAAAGAACATTCAGGCTTGGACGATAATCTCATGTCTGACACTGATCCTGCCAATGAACTTGAGCTGCCTGATCCCGCCGACGGTGCCTTATTTTGCAGTGACAATAGTGAGACTAACACTGCCTTAGAAACCAGTGAACATCGTGAAAGGAACCTTTTCACTGACTGTGATATTAGTGCTATTTTCCCATCTACCTCAGCATCGGTTTCACCTTCAAAATATTGTTGCTTACTGTGCGAGTCAAACTTTTTCACGGAAACCAAACAGGGCATGAAGGACCACTACAAGGACAATCACCCAGATGAGGACATTGTCATGCGGGACCTGAATGCACGGAAAAACAAACTGCCGTCCCGTTGGTACGTTTGTCGGGAGGCAACATGTCTCCATCACTTCCTGGATGCCCAAGCTCTCCTCCTCCACCAACTGGCCCACTCCCACAGCCCTGTATTTGAATGTTCCGAATGTCACTGGAGTCACCCCAAGCTGATGAAGGTCATGGACCACCTCAACGACTTCCACGATAACGATGATGCTGACATCTTGTACATCAACCTGGAGTTGGACGAAGACGGCAGAACTGTTAGGAAACTTTGTGATGGGCCTGCAAAGACAGCCAACATGTAGATTTAGATTCAGGTGTAGAACGTATTGTAACGTAACAGTCTGAGCAGGAACCATGTAGATGGGCCTAAGTATGAATGAGGCTGTGCCTCGTCTCTGTCATCATGATCATGATCCAAACATGTAGTATACTTAATTGATATTTAGTGAACATAATATATCAGGAATATTTTGGACATTTGACCATGTTGATTGATTTGATATAATTATATTGGATGTTGAAAACTGAAGATGCTCACTTTTCCCTGGCTAAATGAACTGAAAAATACTTAATTGGTTTCAAAAGCTAATTGTTTTGATTGAATATTGACATCCTTGTAAAACACAAATCACTGCAAATTAGATGAAATAAATTTGCACTTTATTTTTAACAATTTTATCAGTGATGGAGACAATATAAAATAACCCCAATTCTTGCTGATCAAGCAGTCTTCAATCAGACATCAGGTCGGGGAAGCACACATGATGCTTACAGTGAGATAAACTCCCAAGTACTGGTACTTAGATCAGGCTGCTATGTATGTTGGCTCTTTAAACATATCAAAAGGATCATTTTAGTTTAGATTTGTGTAAATGCTGCACTTAAGGTGTTTTGATACAAAATGGTATATAAATGAGGCAGTTAAACTCATACAAACGCAGCCAATTTGTTTATATATAGCTGATTATTGCTGTGATAGATATGTAAGAAAACTGTATGTATTCATGGTAGGGAGTAAGAGTTATTATTTTCCTGTTATGAGCTGTTATTGATATGAAAGAGATGTTTGCATAATTTAGTTGTGAGCCCACCGAGAAGAGGATCAAGTGGTGGCAATGACCAAGTCATTGTATTACCTGGCTGGTAGTGTGGCATCATACTGACTGCGTTTGTTTATTTGGTCCCAGCTGTGGTTACTGCTTCACCCTATCCATTCATCATTGAATATCTGACATCATTCAAAAATAGGGTGGGACTGGTAGTGCTTAGAGTTGCCAGTCCACTGGGACTGGCAGTTTCAAACGTCATGGGTAACACTGTACTTGATTTATTGCAGCTGTATTTATCGCTGTCTGTATAGCTGTGTTGTTGATGTTGTGTAAAGCAACATTCTTTATTGTCATATGTATAATTTAAATTATTTTAGAGCCCTTTTAATATTTTTTGACTGTGATTTTAAACAGGTTTGTGTTTTTCCGATATGTGTGATGTATGTTCTGCTTGATGCTGATGTTAGAATACCAGAGTAGCAGCATAGGCATGGTAGGTTTAGAGTGTTTTGTAGCTAATGGAGTGTTATTGCTTTGATAGCATTTGAACTACTGAAATGACAACTGATGCATTTAAATGAATATCAGTGTCCTGAATGTAATGGTATTAATCTTCATACCATTGAGGGTGTGTCTACACTACGTTCCTCAACCACACGTGATTCCATCGCCAAATAATCTCATGCAATGTGTCATAGCCTTACACCATCTACGGACATGACGGAACTCCACACATTACTTACCTATCAAGCACTGGTAGGGTGCACACAAAACTCATGCAAGGTGCAACGCTCATTTGACTTCTGTGAGTTGTAAACAGCCTCATTTCATCAGCTGTATGTATTCATGGATGATGGAGGAATGTGGTACATTCACACCCGTCAAGTATGGAGTCGGAAGATGGTAAGTATCCATGATACAAAAAGAATCTACAATCCCTCAGGACCCCTGTGACTAAGAGGCCAAAATAAGTACATGCTTGTTTGTCCCCTAGGTTACTGACCCGCCAAGAAAGTACTTTTACAACCTTATTTCTGACCAACCTTGCTAACGGTTATTGACCCCTTTCATTGTTTATGATTCTTGTTAAGCATTGGATTTGAAAACCAAAAGACTATTTACATTTCTACGAACCAAACTCAGGCTAACTAATACATTTACTAGGGCTGGGACGATACGCCAACTGTGCGATCCGATATGTATCATGATACTTGTATGTGCTCTTATCTGAGGTGCGTTAGCCATCTTTTTCATAGACAGGATTGTCGAATACCTGGCACACTGATGATTTAACTCACATTTTTAGTCCACTAGTCCTTACAATGATAGCATATAGCAAAACCCTTAAAATGGCAATTTTCTACTAGTCCTTGTGATACCTTAGCTATTGCAAGGACAACAGGACTAGTGCCAAGTTCTAATGCTGAGTATGGTGCAATGGACGAAAATATTTACTTTTTCACGACTAATTAGTGTTTGGTGTAACCGCCATTAAAGTAAACATTTAAGGTATGAATCGAAATTATTTACTTAGTGTGCGACTGTGATCGATACTTGGATCCGGAAGTAAAAATCAAGATGCATCGGTGTATCGTCCCACCACTAACATTTATAAGGATATCTAATATTAGCATGACTACGCTAACTGTATTGGGCTGATTATTTGCTCATGAACCTCTGCTATCATTCCAGATTTACACTGAAATTGTAAGAATTTCTAAAAGTTATTCTCACTACATTAAGTAAGGTCAACACTTGTCAATTTTGGCCGAATGGTTTCAGCCCAGTGTGAGTGTCTTTGTACTTATACTGAAACACTTCTGTGCGTAGGACTGGATAGGATACCCAAAATTGCGATGAGATGCGTATCATGACACAAGCTTGTGATGACAATGCAACATACAGATAACTGGAGAAAATGAGTCTGGGTTGTATTTGATGCTTAGGGTACTGTCGCAGCACATTTCAATGTTAGGATTTGCTCAAACTAGTCGAACCTAGTCAAACCCCATTTTCTTGAACTCGCATGTGTTACCATGATAGCAGAAATGAAATGTTTTGGAGAAACAGGACAAGATAGAATTTGTATAAAGCATATTGTCCTACAGATGCATAAATCTAGACATGTCAAATGCTTCTGTTTTTATTTATTACATAAATATTATTTACATGTCATGCGCATTGTGGTATATTTGGATACTTTCTAAGTAGGTCAGGTGATAATGAGGTGGAGTCAGATGCATCGAACCCCTGATAAGTCAAACTATTTCTATGGTTGCCAGAAGCTCCGAGAGAATGGGATATATTTCAATCTATATGATTTTCTAGACAGTTATTATTAGTCTCAAAGTGTCACTTCCCTTTCCGAATCTATCTTCCTATGAGATTTTTTTAGACTGAATTGTGTTGCATGCTTGGTGAAAATATCTAATGAGAATTCTACCATTAATTTTTAAATACTTGATTCTGATTGGTCAGTGAGAGGTATCAAATCACAGTAACCGCCTCTGATTGAAACAATCGATTTGACGACCGAATCACAGCGAAAGTACTTCTTTGTCAGTCATTGACAGAAGGCATTTGTAAATAATTATGTATAGTTATAGGTTATTAAATGCAGATTTGCGGTAACTATAATATAATACATGTGTGGCTGTGCATTGTTTCAAATTTAAGTAACCCTGCTTGAACTGAAAACTTTTTATTTTATTTCTTATTTCCATAAGTTTGGATCCTTGTATATGTAAAACCTACCATTTCATAAGAAAGATTGATTATCAAGGTTTTAATTAATGGGAGAAGTTCGTGTTCACCTGTGTGTCTGTGTCTCTGTTTGTTTTTTATATATTTAAAGTAAACTATGCAAGGTTTCTTCCAGATTTGATTGTTGCTTGATTGGCCAACTGTTGATTGTTAATGGCCTCTGACCGTCCACTGAGTCACACATTCACTACATTGTACTGACCAGTCAGTGGACACGTTATTAATCACACAGAAATGTATCCTAGTTGTACATGTAGTCAAGATGAGTGATTATTGTATTTGTTGACTGAGAATACGTTCATGGTGTGAGTTAGTTTTTTGGTATCATGTTGTTAAATTTGTCTGATGATACTACCATGAGTTTTTTCATATTGTTTGTCCTGTTCACTCTACATTGTCTGAGAACACCACACTGCGCAACTCTTCACTCTAGTTGAAAATAGCTGTTTCACAAGCATGAGATGTGATAAATAGCAATCGATGCATTGTGAATGTCTATGGGCCAATGGTGATGCATCAGTGAAGTTAAAATGTTGATAGTTGACATCGATACCCTGCTTGATTATTGATAATTTCAATAGATGTAAAACGATGGAAAACAGGGTTAATGATCACCTCTAGTTAATACTGTACTGTTGAATTTAGTCACGACATAATTGAAAGTTGACATCTACACCAGAGCTACCTCACTTAAACATCCAACACGATGTCAAGCAATCTGCTGATTCTGGGAGATGGTTGGTTTGATACCAGCGGTGCCACTGCAACTGTGGTGTAACTATTACAGTGGATCACAACACTATTATAATAGTAACCCAGTAGTTTCCAACATGATGTCAAGCAATCTGCTGATTCTGGGAGATGGTTGGTTTGATACCAGCGGTGCCACTGCAACTGTGGTGTAACTATTACAGTGGATCACAACACTATTATAATAGTAACCCAGTAGTTTCCAACATGATGTCAAGCAATCTGCTGATTCTGGGAGATGGTTGGTTTGATACCAGCGGTGCCACTGCAACTGTGGTGTAACTATTACAGTGGATCACAACACTATTATTGTAGTAACCCAGTAGTCTCCCAATGTGATGGGTCAGTCCATCTATTTCTCAGTGTAGTTTAGTTTCAGATGCACAGCTCCAAATCTAACTCTTCTATATTTCATCATTAAAATTGCAGACCTTACACCCTGCTAAGTGCTGGCTCTTGCAATTTAGGGAACCAAACTTATGGTATCAAGTTGGATTCATACTTTATGTATTTCAAGATTAGTTATGATGTTGAACTAAAATAGACAGAAAATGTCTTCACAAAAATTTGGTCATTGTGGTCATGGTAGTGAGATGGTGAAGTTGCTAATTCAGTTAGTCGCCATTGTGTCCTCCTTTACGTGTACTATGCAAGTGTAAAGTGTATCATTGTGTAGCAAGTATTGTATTGCAAATATAGCATTTGAGAAATACCTGTATAATTCACACATCAATACCTGTGTACTATCAGACAAAACCGATTTCACCCTGGCTTGGAAAAGCCTTAAGTGTTACTTGTTAAAAACTTCAAAGAAACAGGTTATATACAATCAACAATAGAGTTATCTCCCTTCTAATGATCAGACGCTTCAGTGTGAGTTGAATATGATTCCATAACAAATTGAATGAAAGGGCATGAAATGTACTATTTCATATGCATATGATGGGATGGTGTTTGCTAGGTCATTTGGATATGGTTTTACTGAATTTTAGCCACTTGACATTAAAAGCACTTAATTTCCATGGCCTTTGAAAGACCTTGCATTTTGTGACCGAAACTGTGTTTGAGCCTACTGAAGTGTTTTGTTTATTAGTCAGTAACTTTGACAGTTGGTTGTCCTATACCTAGAAAATATTAACAGTTTGATTTATATTTGAAATTTTAAGATGTCTAGTAGTTACTGCTTAAAGCGCCAATGTACCTGTTTCACATCCAGCACGCATTACAATCAGACCTGTAGAGACGTGGACAACAGACCATGGAGCATGGCTGCTCTTTCACTCACATGATTTGACATGATCCTATTGGGATATCAAGTTTAGAATTAATGTTTTTTCATTGTGATTCCTTTGCAATTTCAATTTTGATCTATGAAAACGGTGGCTGCCATGGTGACCATGTTGAAAATGTAATTTTTTGTCCCACTTTAATATGCATGCTGTGACTCAGTGTTAGGATACCTGTTGTGTATAAATAGTTTTTTCTTTGTTGGTGTACTTCTACTATTGTAATATAAACCCCTCTGTGACCTGATGTATGACATTTTGGAGAATTTCATTTATTTTGTGAGCTACAGAGCCTATTGGCTACATTTCCTCCCGCTTTAGAGAGCATGTTTAAGTTGCAAGATCAGATTTGAAAGTGTTTCTGACATTTTCTTTCAGAGTTAATGTTTTAAAGTACAATACTTTTGATTGTATTCAAATGCTCTAGTCGACACTGACTGATGTTGACCAGATGCATCACCCTTATCTTGATGTAATGATTTGATAACCTCATTCAACCAGTATGTAATACACCAAGGAAATAGGCAGTGAAAAGTATCATTCCCCTTTACCAGTGTAATCTGATCTTGCATTTTAAATCGAGACAAATTATTGTTGTTAGTTTCATTTTGAAATAACGTTCATGGCTGTGATCAGATTATATTTTTCTCATAAATGTTTTTAAATGTGATTGTTTAGACACAAGTGGTGGCTGTTATTTTTGGTTCAAATTTGGAGATTAACGTATATATGTTATTGATTCAGATTTTTCTGTTTTACAATCAAATGGAATGAAGAAACATTATTTTAGCATGTCTGTACATATAAAAATCTTTATTCTGAGAAAATTATCCACCTTAATTATCTTGCGAATTCGTTTTCGCAATCTTACTTCCGTGAAGTCGACCTACAAGTTTGCTTATCATTCATTTGTAGCAGAACTAATCTGCAAGTTTCATTCACATTTTTAACATCCACCTTCATTGAATTTTAAGCCAAAAATTGTGTAAACCAAATAAAATGTAAAGGTCTTTGGATTAGATATGAAGTTTAAGAATGTTGTAAGTTGACTTTTTCATGTTTTTTGATTGACTTCTTTGTGTTCAAATTCAAGGAAAACCCATTATTTTTTTGGAAAATATTGATATTTTAGGGAGAGAGAAAAATTATCACAAAACTATGATCAATGCTAAACTTTAAAACAATTTATTCTTGCTGTGTAATAACTTAAGGTTCAGCAATCAATTATACTTGTATGCATTCAGCTTCGAGGATATTTTATGCAGAGGCTGCATCAGTATCTATTTCCTAGTATTTGCTATGAAAGAAGAATATCATTTATCCTTAGGCCATTATTTTTTCCTTTCTTGGATCACGTATCAGCGGACCATGTGTTTATCTGAACACATTCAAAATGTGCACCTATTCCCGACTTGCATGTAACACAAAAACATTTGAGGCTACTCGGTGATTTATAAAATGACAAATAAACCA